CCACAACAGCTGGCCACTCATGGCATCATGGTCTATTAAATAACCGAAGAACCTCTTGAATACCGATATACGGAGAAATCTCGACGTGACACGGGTTTCTATCCTTCTTTCCTTCAGCGATATCACTGATAGAGCGTATCGATCGGCTTCCACAGTATCCACCGAGGGTTTACCACTCCTTTTCTTGACATCTACTTCGTCTGGTGCATCTTCAGGGTAGTCGCAAGGTATCTCGGTTGGTAATACGACTGGCGAGGCAGAAATATCGACAGCGTTGGGTGTTCGGAGACCCATGGTCATCATTTTCATGTGAAAATGGTTCCAGATATCTGTACGGTTGGGCAGATTCAAGTGCTGCTGGCTAGACGCTGTTCCGAATGCCAACCTACTTAATGATTTGAGCCGCCTCCAATCGGTCATTTCGAATCCGTACTGGAAGCTGAAGTGCCAGAGCTCCAGAATGTAAATTCGAAACCTGGGGTCCCCGGTGCCTACCGTCCAATTTCACTGCTCAATACGCTCGGCAAGCTCCTCGAGGCAGTAATGGCTTGACGGCTGTCCTACCTCACGGAGAAATATAGCCTGCTACCGAACAGCCAGTTCGGCGGACGCCCGGGTAGGACTACTGAGCAAGCCTTACTGGTGCTATCTAGCGCGATCGACCAAGCCTGGTATAAGCACAAGGTGGTGACCCTGATTGCATTCGACCTCAAAGGCGCTTTTAACGGAGTGAATAAGTAAGCCTAGAAGCGTCGTTGCGGGCGAGACAGATCCCGATGGTAGCCAGGAAATAGATTGCCAGTTTCATGAATGACCGGCACGCTAACATTAGATTTGACGATTTCCGTACCGAAACGGAATTATTAGTATACGCTGGTCTAGCGTAAGGCTCACCGCTCTCTCCTATCTTGTTTGTATTCTTTAATGCCGACCTAGTTGACCAACCCGTCGACTTACACAGAGGCACATCGGCATTCATTAACGACTACTTCCGATAGCGAGTAGGCAGCTCAGTCGAAGAAAACATAGCCAAGATACAATCCGAGGATGTCCCTTGTATCGAGGAATAGGCGCACCGGACCGGGTCCTGCTTCGCTACAGAGAAGACTAAACTCATCCACCTCACTAGGAAGAGGGGAGTATACCTTCAAGGCCATATCACCTTCAATAGAACCGACGTTAAGCCGTCACCTACAGCCAAGCTGCTAGGAGTAGTGTTCGACCAGGGACTTCGCTAGAAAGAATACGTTCAGCAGGCCATTAAGCGTGCTACTAAGACGACTCTTGCGTTAAGCAGGCTATGGCACCTGTGCCTAGAGCAGATGCGACAGCTATACTAAGTATGCGTTGCGCCTATAGTAGACTATGTATCAACGGTCTGGCATAACCTACTCCGGGACAAGATTCACCTTCGATACTTAAACATAGTCTAGAGAACCGTATTGATTAGGATCCTGTCGGCGTTTAGGACGGTAGCAACTGTGACATTAGAGGTTAAAGCGCATATACTTCCTATGCACCTCCCCCTTTGCTATTGAGCACAACGCACTATAGCGAGACTATATACTCTTCCTCGTAACTATCCTATTTAGGGCGCCCTGTTAAGAGCCCAGAATTGTAGGAACAATGTGGGATCATACGCCTGCTTCCCCCTTGCAGAAGCCTTAAGACTATAGATGTCAACAGGCTCAACGCACTGGAAATGATTAACCCTCGTCCGTTGCCCCTGTAGCGGTCAGACGCCTTTACGGAGATCGAGCTCGAACACGACCGGGAAACAGCGAGAGAACGAGCAGAGATTGCGAGGAATACATCGAATATTGTTCTCTACTTGGATGCCTCTGGTTGCGAGGGTTATCTAGGGGCTGCCATCGTCGTACTTAATGACGACAATGAGGTAATAGAGTCTCAACAAATCTAGGTAGGACCGATGGATCGGTAGTCGGTTTATGTAGCGGAACTCATTAGTATCTTCTACGCGATCAACATAGTGTTTAAGTTAGCTTACCAACGTCTGATCATCAGAGACAGTAGGCACGCAACCGCTACTATTCTCTGTGATAGCAAATCGGCCCTGCGGGCAATTCAAAACACGAAAAATAAATCGGGCCAGCGAATCATCTAGGCAACCCTCTATGCAGCCACCAAGGTTCAAGCAGAATCTATATTACTCCGCCTCCAGTAGGTACCAGGGCATTATAAAAACACCGGCAACGATACGGCGGATCGACTCGCTAAGGAAGCTACACAATCGAGCAAAACCTATCCTTTTCGGCCGCTGCTGTCAAGGGAGAACGCATATATCTGCAATAAGATTCATGCTCAATAGGGACAAGAATAGAAGTCAAGCACCAAGGGCTCACACCTACAGAAGATTGACGATACGCTACCGGCGCAGTACACCAGAAAACTCTATAGGAATTTACCCAGAAACCGCGCATACTTGCTGACAGCTACGCACGGGCCACAACTGGCTATCTAGCTACCGAAAGAAGATTAGCTACAGTGATAATGATCGGTGTGAGTGCAGCGCGCAGGAGACAGTCCGCCACGTTTTGATAGAATACCCGAGGCTACGAGAGCCGCGAGCGGAATTGAGAAGACAAGTTAAGGACGCGCTCAACAGTATATCGAGTCTGCTGGGAGACTTAAATAAAGGTGAGAAAGGTAAACCAGACACCGTCTCGCGAGCCAAGACAGTATAAGCTGTACTGGACTTTGCCGAGGCGTCACAGAGGTTTCGCAGTCGTGCGTCATAGGGACAGCCTAATAATAGGGACGGCAATGGGCCACAATAGGCCGTGACGAGGCTCTAAGGTACTGTCAGGAAGTAGATCACTCTACTTGTACATAATCCAAGATATATAGTTGTCGTATCCTGCATATCGTTCGCGAGGGGGATAGGGTAAATGATTTCACACACACACACACCCTGTATTGGCATTTCTTCTTCTGTACTAAAAACTGTTTTCGTAAATCAGCAAAGCGATCGCTTCCTCTAAGCAAGGTGGCTGCACATTTGAACAAATTGATGCTCCATCACACTTAATCCGTGAAATACGGCTTCAATATGTTAGTCGTAAAAGATATCAAACATATGAGCCATGGCGTACCAAGCGAGGCAAGCTAGCTTGACAGGTGGTGTTGTGAGCTTTCTAATCCGCTTTTGTCGATTTTTGCGTGGATACTCTGCCTCCATCGTTAGTGTGACATTCGATGGCACTCTATATTGGCGACTGAGAGGAGCCAGGTGTAAACATCTGGATGTCAATATCTGCAGGATTCGGTCACGCGGGGTTTGGTCACGCGGGGTTTGGTCACGCGGGTTTTGATCACGCGGATTTTGATCACGTGGGTTTTGAGAGACTTAGAGTTGAAGAATTCAATGTTGAATTTTATCTACACATTCAATTCTCCCGGGAGAAGCCCTATGACGTTTGCAAGGTATCATACTCTAATAGATTGAATCGAGAATCCCTTGCAACGCTGAATATCAGAACAGCCCAATGCGTCACCTGCAGTGGGAAGTCCTGGCAGTAATCACAAATTCGGGCTTGCTTTTCATAATCTTCAGGCGAGTAGCCATTAGACCTGGCATTGCACCGCCCAGAGGTGCAGGGTTACCCTCATCAACCCGCATATGCATAAACTTTTGACGCCTTACCTCTTTCGGCTGGATAAAATCGATTAATAATTGATTAACCAGCTAACTAACTAACTAACTAGTTAGTTATGTTTTTTACACCTGTTTTGTCAACCTTCAAATCTTTCTTCTAATCCTAGATCACTACGGCGTATCCTAGTGAAATAAAAATATAATATAAACAAGAAGGGTGGTAATCCATGAATTAGAAATAAAAACCGATAAATTTTATAAATTAGTGGTTTGCGACCGCGATCAAAAGTTTTGTTGAATTTCGTGATGTAAATTTACAGAAATATATCTAAAGCACTGTGACAGCAATATATAATTATTAAGATCATCCGATTTTCTTCGAAATATCTGAAATAGATATTTTATCGGGATTTTTTGGATCATTAAATTTACTAGAAATGATTTGATTTTTCACCCTAATTACCATAGAATACGACTAAATTATCGATGAGTTATGCACTTAGTAAAAAGTCACTTGAGGTCACGTTTCGCACCTCAGGGTCACCTCAGGGTTACCCTCATGAGGTGCGGTGCTTGACCTACCGCACCTGAGGGTTGGAATTTTGGAACCTGAACCGCCTAAATGGAGGTGCAGGTGCAGGGTCTGTAGGGTTACCCGAGGTGCAGTGCCAGGTCTAGTAGCCATGCAAGCGGTGAAGACTCGGGGGGTTGACTTCCATTCACGCATTCCTCGCCATTCTTACTATCTTTTCCCCAATAACAGTGCCTCCAACTGCCTCATATCATATCATCGAGAGAACACTCTATCCGGCCTAGTTAATTAAATGGTATTCTAATCAACGCCTTAGCTCCACCTTTCTTCGTAAGGTTACCTGGTCCTATTCTGGTTGGTCGAAAATAGTTATTACCTTCCAATAACGGACTTTCCGCAAGGGGAATATAGCCCGGTAACTAATCGGGATTCGATTCACAACACTGACAGGCTTAGGGTTTGGCTATATCAAAATTGTGGAGTCGGAAATCTGAATGCCGCAAAATCCCGATGGTCGGGGTAGGTTTTATATTTCTCACCGACAAAGTGATCAATCACCGAGAGATAACTTGATATTCATGAATAAAATACATTGTATGTCTATAACTTTCAACGCCAACCCTAATAGTAATCAATTTCTACTAATTATGAGTCATTTTCATGCCTTGCAATTGAAATCTTATTAGTAGCATCAACTACTATTCGTTTCCATCATCCTAATAGACAAACAAAGTTGCTATATATCACCACAAAAACCAATTTAAAATTCAAATCCTTGGGACTCACCTGTTCTGCCCACCATTACGATATCTATGACCAATGGAGTTGATTTGAAAATTTCAAAGAAAAGCAATGAAGCCAGATACATCGGTTTACTGCTCCACAATCCTTTTAGCATTTTTCAAACATCAGATTCCGGCCTACGGCAATAAAATGAGGTCACATCAATCACTTATTGGATCAAGCGACAGTTATTCAGATCGGGTTTATCGCAAGAGGTCATGTGCGCCCTGCAATCGATGTAGGATGAAGAAATGCAAGTTAGGGCAGTTGCAGCCAACAAACACGTAAATCTTTTCAGATATACTAATAACTGCAACGTAACAGCCTTAGTCCGTGCGGCCGGTGTGAAGAAGACAATACCATTTGTGCCATTGGCCAAATGAAGCGGATCCATGACAAAGTGTACCCTAAGGGGTGAGTTCACTCAAGTCAATGATCGTGAGTAAGCATTTAATTCAGTTGAATAGCATAGATACGCTGCATGCTCGAGAAACAGCAAAAATGGCTAGTTCACGGTTTGCAGGAAATATGTCGACCTATGTGTGAGGGGGGTGGTAACCTTGGAGGGCCGTTGGCATGCAGATCCAATGGCCAACCTTCAACGCATGATTTACTCACCAGATTTGGTGTGGTGAACCGTACTAGAGGACATAATTTTGATGATCACAATATCCTCTTACAAAACGGAAGTTTGCGAATCAAAACGAAGTTGAAGTGTCAGTTATCTGATGGGAATTTCAATGATAACTCTGATTTAAACTCAGAGAAGAGCCCCCCAGGGAGCGCAACAGCCCATGAGTCTTTCTCATACCCTCGGGTATTTTCTGCCAGGCATACCATCTGATACACAAGGGGGGTGACTTGACATCAGATACTCAATTTTTTTCGACTGATGCGGAGCCGCAGGTGATCTTGTACAACAACGAAACTGGTTCTTTGACGACGACTTGAGAAATAACTGGCTTATTCTCTTTACAGGCTTCACCCCAATGGATCGTCAGTAATTTCTAATCCTTTAATAATAACTAGAATTTCCACGATGAATCCTTCTTTGGAAGCTTTAATGACGCCGTCGATCTTCGATTTCCATATCCCACTGTGTTGAAAAGACAGCAATTACTAACACGACGGGACCATGTATTTTCCAAGCGAGTTGCCGAGTATCAAAAAATACATGCATAACACCTGTCTATACATACTCTACTATGCACCTATTCTACGGCGCTGTAACACAATATACTTTTCGTTTCTAATCACTCCCTGCTATATTGAAGAAAGATGACAAGTGAAATCACTCACCAGATTTAGAGCATGTTATTAAATTTACTAAATCTTTGCAATAATTATTAATATATATCAAACAGGGGTGGATGAATAATGTAAGCTGTGAGGAAGAGTTGACCAGTTCCGTGAGGAAAAGACTCAGTGACTCGTGAGACGATGCACATAACAATCTATCAACGCCCGGCGGCTAAACCGAAAGGGCAAACATCATTAATTTACCAATACGTGTCTTAGTATATGCTGTGTCTCCTTAGGGCCCATACATGGTTGCTTTCAGTATATCATCTCAGCTGCCAATATCATGGTGGATCGTCGTGGTTTAGTAATTGTATTAACAGGGTGTCTTCAAGTGTTCAACAGTCTATTCTCGGCAGTTGAGGCGTGTCTCTGTACTCTCCTCATCACCTTGTATATCTGACAGATGACGGTACAGTGAGTTCTGAAACTGGTGCAACCACTTACACTCTTGTTGGAGAAAGCAGTGATGGGAAAAGTTTAAGGTGTACGAGTTGATGGGTTTTAAACATAGACTAGCGTATACATCTTTTTTTCATGTAAGTTGCGACTCAAGGATCTTGTTCAACATGGAATTAATTGCTAGTTGGCAGACTCATGACTTGAGATTTTGAAATGTCTTTATAGTCTAACTCACAAGCCCCAGGAATTGAATTGAGTTGAAAATAGGTATCGATCTCAGTCAATAGGTACTTACGCGATTCCAGCGTTATATGGCCGAAGCACACAGCTGTCACCACAAGATTCTGATGGTAGATTCAGAGCGATATCTTTATCGATATACCTTGCGAGATGGCCATCCTATTTTCTGGGCTGTTCTACCCAATTTTCTATGCGACACGCTGTTCCCGCTAAAAGCAAAGAAATAGATTATTATGATAGGTTTGTATGTTTGAAAAAATCGATCCTTCATTAAAATTCATGCGTAATGTACAGCACAGCTTCAATGCTTAGTAAAAAATATCAAAAACCTAACTAATGATAGACGGAGTATTAAGTGAGGCAAGTAAGCGTACTGTAACAGGTTATCTTGCAAATTTTCTACTACTTTCAGCCTGTGGTCAAGTCTTTAACCAGCTTCCGTGTTGCGTGGCTCTGTTATAGCGTTGACATAAGTGTAAAATTTGCGAGGTCAGCACTCTTAGAAATTTTAGTCATGCGGGATTCAAAGTGTGTATCGGGCTTGGGAGTATAAGTTAATGATAATCGAAACGAAAAATTACTGTAATTCAGAATGGAATGTTGGAAATGCAAATCCCGAAACTCTATAATTGAAGTTATCTCAAGCTAGAATGATGAGTAATCGGATATAGTAAAACTTTGATCCATTGAAAGGCCGAGACGGAACCGATACCGGTATTTGCCTCCGCGATGTAAGTGCATGGGAAGTGGTACAAAACGTTTCAAGTAATTAATGTCTCCCTAACCTAACCATGAAGACACCTTTAAACAGTGTCGTATTGCACTTAAATTCTGGGTTGGCTCACAAGCTTTCCAAATTAGTCGTTGATTTTTCTTCCATCGCATTCTTCAAACTATTTCGATTCGAATTGCAAGGGCTGACAATTTTTATTCACCAAGCCAGATTCGAGTACACGACCACCTACAATTCAATAACGTCAGCAAACGAAAAAGAAAAAATAGAAAAATCATGTCTGAATTATGTGCGACGGGGGATATTGATCAATCAGTCCCCGAGTCACAGCGTCGTGCGATCTCAGAACACGAGAAAGGATGGAGAAGGATTGTCCGCAACTTTACCCCTGCGTAAGTATCACTTATTTCCATTGCTAAACCTAGATAATTTTACTGAACAACGCTCGCAGTTGGTTCTCAGTTAATATGGGCACAGGAATTGTCTCAATTCTTCTCTTCAATATGCCATACAATGGAGCATGGCTTTATTGGCTCTCAGTCATTGTGTTTGCATGGAACGTGTTTCTTTTCTGCCTCTTCCTGTTCATATCGATTTTACGCTATTCGCTGTATCCCGATATTTGGCTCGCTATGATACGCCATCCCGCAGCGTCCATGTTTCTTGGAACATTCCCTATGGGCCTCGCGACAATCGTGGAAATGGTAGCCCTCGTTTGTGTTCCAGCATGGGGGCCACGTGCTGCAACACTGGTACGTTTTGAATTCAGGCTCTATAAATTTCAAATCACTAAATCATAACAGGCATGGGCACTTTGGTGGATTGACTCTGCGATCTCTGTCGTTATATGCTACTGCCTCCCTTTTATTATGTGTGTACAGGCTCCAAACATTGAATAAGCTTATACTAATCCCACTACGCAGCATGTACGTTCATGATACGAAACTATCCACGGTAACTGCAGTTTGGCTGCTCCCTATTGCCGCATCTATTGTCGCGTCCGCGACTGGCGGAGTCGTTGCCGAAGTCCTTCCTGACCCTCGGCATGCTTTATGGACAGTCATTGTTTCTTATATCTTATGGGGCACTGCCATTCCTCTTTCTATGTCGTGCCTGGTTATCTATTTACAAAGATTGATGCTGCACAATTTGCCGCCACGTGAAGCAATTATGTCAGTTTTCCTCCCTATCGCACCTTTGGGCCAGGGTGCATTCGCTATAATGCAGCTTGGCAAAGTTGCTCTGGACATATTCCCAAAGACAGACACACTCGATTCACAGTCAACAAACTCTGGCGCAGTACTGTATGTCATGGGATGGCTTGTGGGAATCATAATGTGGTCGTTTGGTGTAGCTTGGATCTTTTTTGCTTTGGCCAGCATCAGCCGCAGTCGCTTTCCATTCAACATGAGCTGGTGGGGCTTTACATTTCCCCTAGGAGTCTTCACTGGCGCTACAACAGCATTAGGAAAAGAAATTCCGTCGCGGTTCTTTAGTGTTCTGAGCACGGTGAGTCAAACTAATCGATCCCATTTCCCATGTGATCCAGCCCCTACTTACAAAAAATTCAAAACGACTGCATCTAAATCGATTTTTCAACCAGATCTTATCCGTAATCGTGATTCTCTTGTGGCTGATGGTATCGATACAAACCACCAGAAAAGCAATAAGCAGAGAGATTTTTGTTGCTCCGTATGTGAAGGCTGTGCTGCCACACAAATCTTCTGCTGAGACGAAAAATGGGTCAGATGCTGCTTAGAGCCCATAACCTAGCATACAAACACTTAGTGCTAAAAGTTTTTTACCATATTCGAACTTGTCCTTTCACAGGTCTCCGAAGCAAAGGAAATATATAACATCCTTTTCAAAGATTAACTATGATTTATCTTTGTGTTAGATACTTTCGTATTACTTTGAACCCGGGTCGCTCTTGGCAGCTTTGTAAATTGATCATTTTAATGGACGAGGCCATGTCACCGTAGCTTTGAAGCAAAGAAACGTGTAAGCCACTCTTCACAGAGGTTCGCGATCGTGAAACGGACCAATTGGAGCTTACATTCCAAAATCATCTTACTCTGCATCATAAAACAATTGTGCGCAAAGTCCCTCAAGGTTTTTTCAAGCAGACGATCAGGTCACAAACATACGTCGCGTTACCAACTCCCCAAGGATTGGACAGAGGGCAATGTATCGGGATCTTCGGGATTTCGTCTTTGGTTAGATAATGGTCTTTCTTAAATGCCGTCAATTAATCAAGATTTTTACAGTGGGTCAATAAGATACATAGAAGGCATCAATCTTGCCTCGTGACCTGAATGTATTCGTCTCGTTTGCCCGACTCGACCTTATTTGGCCCGTGGAGAGCCGGCTTTGTTACTATATGCGAAAAAGAGAGGCAGCGGGTGTCTTTTGAAAACGCATGAACCCTGATGGTAAGTCTTAAACACCCTACCAGATTCAGATTCGGTTATGAATCAGTGGTGTGGATCGGGTTTTGAAAAATCCCCGATCAAAAATCCCGATCAGTCTCCGATTTTAATCCCCTTTCGGAGAATGGATTTTTTGACCTGTCGCATCTTTAGCCTTAGTCTTTGAGGTTCTTCATTTATCTGTCGTAACTTACTGGATTTAGCCCCTAGCCCTTTTCACTGTGCACTGCTAGATATAAATGAAAAGTTCAAAGATACGAGCTCTGTGACTGCTCAACAACCGAGAAAATTGAATACACACAAATGTCTTCAGTCTACCTTTATATTCCTTCTACAACAAAGAGAGGAGGTCTAACACGTCATGAGCTTATGCTCGCTCAAATGCCTTGTTTTCTGGGATCTCAAGGCTGCTCAAGCAGTAAGCAAAGTATGGTTCTGCCTACGATGCAAGTTAATTAAGGACTCTGACTCAGGCCTTGGAGATGAACTGCCTGCCCAATGCGCACTTTGCTTGGAGTCGCTGGGATTGACGTCATTTTATCGCCTTCTTCCATGTGGTCATCCCTTTCATTTGCAATGCATCGATAAATGGCTTTGCAACGAAGACGCTAGTTGTCCACTTTGTCGCCAAACCTTTTACGAGTTGCGACGTCCAAAATTCCTCTATATCTTACCGTCTAAGCGTGCCGACCAACAGGCAAATTACCAAAGTGAGATCTCATTAACTGCAGTAAAAGCGAGTATGAAGCAAGCATTTAGAAGTATCCGGGGCCTTTTGCCGCTACGACGGTGACATTAAAATTTCAATATCAGAAATTTCCAGGGCCTTGTCACACTCACTGCAAGATATTTTGACTTCCTTGTCGTTTCAACCAATTTTTTGGGTACATATTTGGCTAGAAGTGTTGATCAAGACGAGAGCCCTACTTAATGCTTCAAGGGTCATGAAATATATAACATGCCATTCGAAAGATTACTGGTTATTTTGTCTTGCGAGTCCAGAGTTTTTGGAATCTTTCTTTCTGTGCTGATTTAGACCCAACAATTAATCACGGGTCGCCTTGTAAAACTTGGGTTCAGATCCTCTGGATCTATATGCTGTCGGAAGGTCCTGATCATCGTCACAATCCAACGCCAGGGAAACCGTAGGAATGACTTTTTGCAGGTCAGGAATGTAATGCGAGATGACATGGCTAGCCGAGTGGCTTTCTTAAATGGAGGTGAGAGTTCAACGGCACAAGGACAGAGGGCCGTGATGGGTGGAGTCACAGACAAAAAAGGGAGCAGCTTCTTTGATCTCTGCTCCATCGTAGACAATGTTTTTCAAGGTCATCAATATTATATGACAGATCGGTTCGCCTCTCCTGGAGCGGAGAGAAAATAAACATAATTTTCTTTTTCAATTAACCTATTCGAGTATGTGGTACACATTTCTTGACCATAGCATTATTTTATTAACTTCCTTGGGCTGCATTTCAGATCGACCTTTTTTCGGAAACATATTCAAGAAGCCACGCGACAGTTTATATGAAGTATGGGTGATATACGCAAAGATAAAAATCACACATTCATCCCAAGCTTACAGCAGATAAGTTCACATATATGAATAATGAGCCTCAAATATTATTTTCGATGGAAACAACACAAACATTTCAGCTGAAATGCAGTGATCAGTTCAGACACTTACGCATTCAATAGAAAAAATTGCGTTTCTGACGCGCACTCGAGACAACAATAGGTGCGCACGTTTATAGCTGCATCTTATGAGGAAGAAACTCGAGTGACAGATCGTTAAAAATGTTCAGCCGTGGAGACTTCGACTTTCTTCTGCTAACCTTCTGCTTTTACAGAAGTGGATAAGCTAATCTAGTATCGTACTTGCAGCAGTCTCAGCATGCAGTCGGTGACTCTCGTTCCTCTCCTCCACGTAGCGTAATAGTCGTGGTGGTATTGAAGCATCGTCAGTTAATCCGCTCGCAATAGGATTTCCAAGAACGTCATAGAGGGGAACAACACCTGTCCATACAGGCTGCAGACGATCTGGGCCATCCTTTTCAATATTTCTCGGCTGGATGTTTGGGATTCCACTTCGAGTTTTAATGCTGCAGCTAAGAATTTCGACCCGTATCACATGGACTAGTGAGATTTGAAATGACGAGACAGGGTTCACATCTTGCCAGCGGTCAGGCACAACATGATTTGTCAATAAACTCATAAGGCGAGTTTTCTCTGCCCGATCACAAACCAAAGAACAAACTCCATGTATAACAGCGGAGCGGTAATTGAATTCGTGACCATTTGGGGCAGATGAAAGGACAAGACCATCAACTAAGAACGGATATTCGTTAAGAGGGGTTTTTTAATATGGGCCAATCATATCTTGACACACCTTTCGTCGATGTAATACAAACTCTTACTGCACTCTTCTGGTCTGCTTCCAAACCCCCGTTATCCTTGTTCTGATCGGACTTTCTCACGAGCTCGATGAGCTTTGAGCTTGGATGTCCGTGCAGATATGCTGTAGCTACCTCCCCATTTTTCTGGATGAGAGTAGTCATAGGAAGACATTGAGGAAGTCCATCACAGACATAGGCGACATGAGAGATAAAGCTGTCGGCAAAGACAGATATCAGAGAGTCGATGTCGTATTTGCCTTGGTCTTTGCGGCGACGGAGCGTAGCAGGTTGCATTATCGACTGTGGTTTGTATGGGCCCTCTTTCCCGCTGTCTTGAGCCCAAGGAACTCATTTAAATATAGGCCCCACGGAGCAAGCACTACAAAAATCGAAATTTGATCGAAAATACGACGTTATTCTCGAGGTATTTCAAACCCCGAAACAATACTAACCTTATCCGGAAATCCCGAGACAGCTCCACCTGTTGTAAGTTATAGGACTAGGTTCAGTTGCAAAGCTGGATTAGTTTTTGGGTAATTAAATGTGAAGGGCTATGGCCGAGCTTAGATTCAACAGTGCGATGTCACAAGCTGTCTTTATTAAGCTTGAAGAAGAAAGGAGAGAATAGCTAACAGACATGGAATAAGGGATGCAGGGTAGCACGTGACGAAGTAAACAGGAGCGGCAAAGCCGCGGAACGTGATCGGGCCTTGCCCGTTACATTAAAATCCCCTAAAGTAACCCGGGATTTTCAAGTCGTATGCATGAAACAAATCATCTTCTTTCAAGAGCAAACCTTTTGTTCCGTGGCTGCTCAGTACTTCGCCGTTGCATCCATGTCTCTTCAATCACGAATGGCGCCCATTATTGAAAGAAGAAGGGATGTCCAATCGTCGTCCACGAAGAATGACATTCAATCATTAGATATCAATTCAGATGAGAATGATCCGGGATTAGATGGTGGGTAGGGCTGGGTCTGTGTGAAAGCCATGCTACTTATCACCGCCCATACCTAGGGAACCAATGGCGTTAGAACATCTTTAGCCGTTTGAATTGTCTCTGCCCTCATACTGACCCCTGGCATTTCCCATGTAGGCATTTGGTATCTACCTAGCCCATTATCTCAACGTGCATGCCTTCCCCGTTGTATCGGAACTTACATACTCATTTATTGGAGGACTTTCGATCTCCCAAGTTATATTTATTGCTCCAATTGTGACAAAATGCGCCCACAGTTTGGGCATGAGACCTACATTACTAATTGGTGTAGTACTTGAGAGCGGGGCGTTAGTTGCAGTGAGTTTTGCCACCAAAGTTTGGCATTGTTCCTTACACAAGGCCCTTTAACTGGGTGGGGTGCGCTTTCCTCTATTTCGGCGCCGTCGGAATAGTTCCCCAGTGGTTTGAGAAACGAAAGAGCGTAGCAAATGGAATTGCTGCCGGTGGCAGTGGTCTTGGTGGCTTTATTTATAGCTTGGCGACAAATTGTATGACCGACCAACTGGGCCTTTCTTGGGCCTTTCGAATTACGGCAATTTGCGTCTTCGCTATTAACGCCATATGTGCTATGTTGATACGCGATCGGAATCAGCACAGCAACCCCGATCAGCGCTCGTTTGACTGGTCCCTATTGCGACGCTACGAGTTCCATTTGTTAATTGGGTGGGCTTACTTCAGCACTCTTGGGTACACCATGATTTTGTTTTCATTATCGGATAATGCTGCCAAAGCTGGTCTCACATTACGGCAAGGTGCTATTGTGGGAGCTCTAGCGAACATGGGAATGGCTATCGGACGACCTATGGTCGGGCTCTTGGGCGACTTTGTTGGCCGTATCAATATTGCAACCGCAGCGACCTTCCTATCCGCTCTCTATTGCTTTTGCCTTTGGACATCAGGAACATCCTACGCCACATTCGCAATACTAGGAGGATCTGTTTTTGGGACGTACTGGGCGGTCAGAACCTCCAACTTGGAACTCAATACGAATTTATACTCATGATTTCAATAGACGATTGGACCGCTGTTGCATGACACTCTAGGAATTCAGCTACTTGCAGCAGTACTTTCTATTTTGTGGACTGTCATTGTTCTACCAACAACTTGTATGGCACCTTCAGTATTCTTTGCACACTCTTAACGCTGATTGACATTAAAGTTGCTGAACCGATAGCTCTCGACTAAGACGGGAAAAAAATCCATACTACCTTGATGTTCAGCTATTTTCTGGATGCATATTCCTCGGTGGCACTTTCTTTATGCTCGCATTGCGGCAATGGAAAATCGGCCAATTCGATCACCATTCCCATGAAAGGTCTGCTTCTAACGAAAGAAGAACACCAGAAAGAACCAGAACTCTGGCAATTGGAGGCGGGTCCAACCCATTCTCAAAGCGTTTGTCCTGCGTAAATTCCAGAGCCGCCATTCCAAAGCGACTTTTGAGTGTAAATAGACCCATGGACGATCTGATCACTCTAAAAGATCCACAATTATTGAACACGCCTGTAAAATAACCTTTATTAGCCATTTATTTATGTCGTCTAAATATTTGATAGACAAGATATTCGCCATGTGAGCCGACGATTTGAAAAGGGTAAATATACTTTCTCAGCATGGTCTCATTTTTGTCTATTACTGTATCACTGCTTCTATGAAATGAAATAAAAGTTACTGCAAATTTAAAGCCCTTTAGTATCGACTGATTGTGCCTTTTAGGGATGTTGGATTTGCATTCTATCACAAGGAAATTCATCAAATGCTGAGAAGAGAGCATTATTATTCAGCATTATCTTTCTCACGCATAGAGGTTTTGTGTCAGTGTCTCAAGTTGGTTAACTTCAGGTGTCAGTAAAAGCCATAGTAAGGCTGTTGCAGTCACGTCAACACATGGATGCCGGCAGCTTAGGAAGGATTAATTCCTCCGTCCAATCGCCGAGGCCTGCGAGTGGCCCTTTCGTCGCATTAAGGTAGAGCTTCGTTCGTAAATTAAGGTTCCTTGGGCCTATTCGGTCAAACTTTATTATCTATTAATTAAAGACATCCAATTCACACTATGAACGAAGCCTCCCAATCCAACGTACTATCAACAGTCTCGCAATGTACTATGCTTAATACTTCTGAAGCGGCAAGGATAGTTAGACAAATTCGCAATAACATCAACTGGTAGCCTTTTGTAATTGAAAAACATGGATTGGAAAAAGCTCGATAACATGGCTGAAACACTGGCTAAACCAGCCCAAAGCCTGCAACAGGGGTTTGATATACTAGAAGCAAGCTACTGTATAATCACACCATGCCCGGTATAATGCATCTCGGCAGAAAATATAGTTTCTAACAGGTTGAACATAGAAGAGCGTATTGGCTCGGATTGGAAAAGCCGCTCACCCACAAAGTTGCTCCCAACAATAAATTGCTGTATATACATTTGAGGCCAACTCTCACATCAAACTGGACTAGTTGTTCATGATCCTCAAGTATCCCATGGTCATCAACGCCAATAAATTCTCTGTCATGATTTTTCAGCAACTCAACTCACATCTAAAGTAAAAGGTTCTTCAAGAAGAAAGCTTGTCATCCCTCATCGCCATCCTCATAATCTGAATTCGGAATATCATGCTAGTTTCGTGTGTTTTTTTTTTCAACCAGAATGTCGACCGGACTGTTCAGCCGAGACCATTCTACGGGTTAGTTTGGCACATGAAATGACAGATTGGGGTTTGAATGGGGAATCTTTTTTTGAATCGTCGTCAAAGAGTAAATGATAAAGGCCAATAGCGCGGCGTGGCCTAATATAATAGAATTCATAGGTCGTAATCCAAGCGATTGGCTTCTTGTATTAACTTTCTTCGGGCCAGGTATGCATGAGCATAAGGGGCTATGATGCTTGGGTGCTCGTGGGTTTGCATCATGTTTCTGCCAGAGACGATTTCTTGTAATCGCAAGGTAGATAATAATTGATAAATTAAATCGCTGGGATGTGTTTCATATTAACGGTGCAAGCTTAAATGTTTGAAGAGAATATTCAAAAGCAAGGATATTTAGAGATAAGAAAACTATTAGTATCCAACCTGCAAGGACCACCTGCTACAGGGGTATCCAGTTGGAAAATTCTAGAGTGGGCCTTGTGGGATAAGTAAACTCTTACTATTCCGCAAACTAAACCCCGATGATGTATTGGAAATGGCATTTGAATATGTATCCCACTTAGCCTTATTTTTGACCTGTTCTAATCATCGTAATTTACTTGGGAGACATTCACGCTGATTAAGATATGGCCACAGTTCTCTCCATGAATGAATGATGTAGCAATTTTTCACAATTTCGTCTCCAATTATGTGATGCACGTATTCAAAGTTCACTTAGAAGAGTAACAGATTTCCCAATCAAGAGCTCTTAAGCTAAGTTAATGACAGTTGGTGATACATATCTGCTAGCATCCTATATTGACAGCACTGTGTAATATTTCGGCCTCCAGTATTGGTGTGCAGCATATGTTGTAGGAAGATATACGGCGTTCAGAGGCGTGTTATGAAGACCTTCTTGGGCAGACCCCGAGGTCTGGCGTCATGCGGGATATGAAATCCTTGAATAGACCCGAGGGACTTGGTTATGCAAAGATCATTCGTTTTCGTTATGTACACTTGCTTCATATTTTCATACGCACATTGTGCCGTGGACCCCTCCTGTCTTGCTGTCTGCTTGTCGCTCGCTTCTTGCTATTCGCCTATCATTTCACCTCGCATGTGAAGCCGCACCCTTCATCATACCGCCAGCTTCTTATCTTAACCCCATGCATTTCTTTGCGAATATTGGATCGCTCGTTGACCGCTGGTCCCAGAAGGTTGGTCCCCAGACCCTGACTAGATCGACGACGAGTTTGCGGACTAGGCAACCCCAATAACCTATCTGGGCAGCATTCTCCTAAAGAGGACGCCCTTGATATTGAGGACGAGGAAACTAGAAAAATTGCGTGGCCAGAAACCGCCGACCGAAACGATCCTTCGCAAGGGCTAGCACACCACCTCCTGAGAGGCGTTCTGGAATTTCTGTTTTCTTGAGTATCGCGGCTATTAGTCATAGTACATGCCTCCTCATTTGCCAACGCCCATTTGCAGGCTCAAGTATCAAGTCGCAAAACAATCCTCTTGCTCCCTAATTCCCTCATTCCTGCCCTTCCGTTTCCTCGTTCAGACAGCATGCGCTGCGCGCATCACCAGTAGGATGCGTATCGCTTAGCTTCAGCTTGGATAGATGTGCGCCAGCTCTCTCCTTTCCGTGGGACACCTGGTTGAGGTTATGGTACAAGATCGGGCACACTCTTTGACAAGTTTTAATTTTCAATACTGCAAAAGATGTCATCAGCACTGGGGAGAGAGAGATAGAGAGCGCGAAGTATATTTCTGCGGAATTAGAAGGAAATGAGTAGACCTCCGAGCCTGGACGAAAAGGGAATAGAAAATCGACCGTTTGAAAAGCAGGTGATTAACCCAACCAGTAAGAGTTAGTTATTAGTTAGTATAGTGGGGGAATCGCTCTGGTGATATCAGGTGACGTTGTAGGCCTCGGGCCTTGCTCCTATTTTTGTATATAAGTCCTTGGTGATAGTTATTCGACCACCACCCACAGTTCGGGTCAATGTTATCGTTCCTTATTGCGGATTGCGTGCGCCGGTTGCGATAGAGCTCGGATGCTCTGAATTTTCTATCTCTAGGGTCCTGCCTACTCTCTACGATACAGGCACCCTGCGGGTGTGGTGTTATTTCTCTTGTTTCTCTCCCCTTGTCTGCCGTGCGCAGACTGCCATCGAGCATCCCATCTTTCATTAGGTAGTTACCGTCTGATATTTATTAGTCACTCGGGTGTTTGTATCGCCCCCGTAGCAGTGGGGGCCTAAATCGAAAGGACGATTACGTATTTCTTAGTCATAGATTTCAAACCCCGCGGGATCTGACTGTGACCCACATATATATTCTGGGTGATCGATCAAATGCCCGCTTACCCGCATTTTGAAAATCGATAACGACATGTTGCAATCCGGAACAGCAGGAAGAAAATTTACGGTGCCTCCAGTGAAGCTGGCTTGCCTTGCTTGGTATTTTCCCTCCCAAAAGTCTTGCTCCCGCCTAATGAGGTACAGTCGATCATCGAGAACACGTTGCGATGGAGGTCGACCATGCAGTAGTGTGAGTTTGAAGCCAAATATATTAAGCACTGGGTAGTTGGCTTAGTGGCAAAACTAACTGTGTACTTTACAAGTGTCTCGTTCGTAATCGCGAGTGTTCCTATCTCCCCAGCAAAAGGGGTGGCTCACGAAAGCGGCAACTGCACGGGCGGCCAGAAACTGATGCTATCAGGTTAGCACATCGTTTGGATCGAGCATCACGACACCCGACCAAAGATTGTCAGTCGACTCCTGGTGATTTTTTTTCTTGCCTCGAAGCTATCTTACAAATCTAAATAGTCGTTGCCTTCGAGCAAATCGACCATCTCATCTCTCCAGGTGCTGGACTGAGACGAACGTTCAATACCGAAGCGCGGTCTGAAGCAGATGTGGAAGATCACCAGTGTTTTGAGAACGACCTCGGTAAAGAGTCTGCCACTGTAAGGATTTATGAAAGTGAAAAAAAAATGTAAGTGAAATAATGACCAACAACCAACTTGATGCGAGACTTTTGACGAAAACTCAGATTGAATGCCTATTACATCTTCATTCATCAGTTCTTCCCAATTCTCCCTCCGCCCTGTTTACCTCTTTACCCCGACTGTCCAACATCTTTTTCTTCCGCCAAAAATTTGGACTCTCTACTACAGGGCTCTAGTTCCCCGCTCAGTCTTGCAATTTCGGCAATTCTAGTCCTCATTCCCTTGACACAGGAGACCAGTTGCGGCCCGGGAACTCATAGATCAGAGCGGAGATCTTTTGCACAACGTCTTACGCAGGCAGCACTTGAACGTGTGGAAGCTGACTCTGAATCTCTTGCTTTTGCAGTTGATTACCCTCCGGACTCACTCGATGAATTGGAGACAGCATCTCGCAACCCATTTCACCCGCACACTCCTGTAGGGCTGGAAAGCATCCTCGCACTTCTCATTTTAAGCAATTATGAGCATACTCAACGTGGAAATCTGCTTAAAATGGTCACTCGGGCAAATCAGGCACTAGTTACAGCGAAGGCTTTATCTCTCCATCGCCTGGGACCGGAAAATGACAAATATTCAGAGGCGAAGAGGAGAGCTTGGTGGATGACGGTGAGCACTTCCTTCTGGAAATGGAGGAAACAACGGGAAAAGTTAACAAATAAACAGTACTGCTGCACACATCTGTGCTCTATCGTTCGTCAGAGTGTAAGTGGCTGATACATCCATGTCTAACTTCAGTCATTTGACCCATTACTGGAACTATCGAATAGTCCTCTATTAGCATCGATGACGACAGCAATTTCATAACACCATTTCCCCGTTTAGAATCAGACCCAGAGGTAAGTCATTATTTTTATCTGCAAAGTCCTTGGTGACCTGACATTGTAGGCCTGGGCGATATTTGCCGAATCGCTGCGAATCTCAGTAGCTAGCGTTCGACTCATGGCTAGCCTTGGAGCCTCTATGAACTCGCAGGCAGACATGTCGAGCATCTACGATCAGATCGCCAAACTTGACAAGCAAATAATACAGACAGCTACAAGAGTAGAGGCACAACTTCCCATGTCATACACCGAAGGCCAAGTCCAAGGGTCATTTGAGCTATCTACGGCTCAAGTTATGCGACGCCTTTCCCGAATTAGATTTTCTAGGCATGTGTTCAATCATAAGTAACCCAGCATATCCTTTCAAACCTATTCTAACACCAAGCTTGACAGTGCAAGAATCCGTTTACATCGGTATCTAGCTTTTTCAGACTTTCCTCTTTTTAGTAAGAACCATTGTGATCTTACCTCTACCAACGACCTCAAAATTGCCACCAGCATAGATGATGGCGCAATGTCCCCTGCTCTCACTCCAAGTGGATTGTGTGCATCTCCGCCTTTCACGTGTGACCAATCAGCTGGAATATGTGTTGAATCTGCCCTGTCAATTGCGCGACAACTTCGGAGCTTGCCAACATCAAACATGCTCTACGCTGGCGGGATTGTGCTACGTACCATGCCGACATCCTCATGTTGCGCAATGCAGGCTAGTTATGCTCTGTTAATGCAAATATGTAGGACTCGCGCTATATCGCAAATGTTTTGCATGTCCACGGATACGCCATCCTCCATCGAGCGCCAGGTCGAGGAGCTTCGTCACGGTCTCGAAGGAATTATCACGACAATGGAAGACTTTGCAAGAACTTCTGAGGCGATTGATGGTATGAGAGGTCAGTGTCATGTTAGATCTATTGTCATATGCTATATGCTCTCTTTAACCTCTGTTGCTTGTGAACATCCTGCTAATGATTCTATCTAAACTTTGTAGATGAACTTCAGGTTTCATTCCAAGCAGCGTTCCAAGGCGATCTAGAATAAGCTATCCTAGTTGATAGAAACAACAGCTACTGTGTGTAGAAAAGTTAAGAAAGCGAGTGGGCATGGATGAGACCAGATCGCCAGATCGCCGTTGCCATGGCGATTGACTTCCTAGAGTATTCCATGGACGAGTACGGTAATTAACAATGACTCATTTGACACATAATCTCAATACGTTATATACTACGATACAGCTAAACAGGGGTAGAATTTTAGTTAGCCTTATATGGATTAGCGTGGTTTCGGGTACGGGCCGAGAAACAATGCGTTAGTGTCCACAGGGGAATCCGTTTTCGAAATCTACTGTAGAGCAGGATACTGAGGTTGACGAGGCAAACAGAGGTGATTTGTTGAAGCCGAACGTATATAAAATCATTGTTGTGTGTGCCGAGCGGGCGCTAGCGGTGAACGGATGGCGGACCCACCCACGGGGCCTCCCGAGCCCCTTCCAACCAGGAACACGCGACGGTCGGCGGCGATCGACGCAGGAGAAAACTCTGAACCAAGGGACGCCCCTCGTACCAGGAGGCAAACACGCCTAGAAGAAGACAACAGCCATGTGACTTGGACTACTACAGAGCCGGAAAGCGCAGTGACCAGCAGTGGACGTGTGACAACCAAAGAGATTCGACAAATTATTGAACAACTGCAACACACCATTGACAAGCAAAGCGTGCTGATCCAGGCTACCAGAAACGAGCTTCGCGAAGTGAAACACAGCCAGAGCGAGCTACAGACCCAGAATGAGACGCTACGGGAAGAGATCCAAGCGCTGCGAACACAGGTCGAAAGCCTAAAGACACCGCCTTCGGGCCGATCGTGGGCGGCGGTTGCTGCAGACGTCAACAATTCGGACCCTCATGAGAACAGTCGACACAGAAAGAAAGAAAAGAACTGCGTCCGAATCAGCACTCGCCAGACATCAACCGACGCACTTGAATCAGAAGACAACGAAAACACCTTTGGACGATACCTACCTACCACGGAAGCGAACACCCACATCCGGAACGCACTATCAAACGACCCATCCACGCAAGATGTACAAGTCGCGGGAGTCGGCACCACTCGAACGGGATACATCATTCGATTTAAGGACTCGGAGTCGGCAGAGGCGGCCCGCTGCAACACTGAATGGCTAAGGGACCTAGGAAACGAGACCAGGCTGGTGAGACCACGGCACGGAGTAGTTGTGCATCACCTCCCTACCCACGGATTGGACCTCGAGAAGGATAAAGCAGGTGCTATCAAGAAACTCACAAACGAGAACGATCTCGCTGCTCGCGACTTCCGAATCGAAGATATCGCGTGGCTCAAGAAACGGGACAAGAACCTGGGGACGTTCGCCTCCATAGGCATTTGGTTTGATTCGGCAGAGGCCGCGGAATGGATGGTTGACAATGGACTGCTGATTGACCGGCGGTACATTGGGCGCATAGAGAGATACAAGGCTAAAGAAGGACGATGCTTCCGATGCCAACGGTTTGGCCACCAGGCGTGGTCCTGCAAAGAAAAAGCAGCGCGGTGCGGACACTGCGGTGGCCCTCACGAACGATCAAGATGCCCACCCGGAGTCAGAGCACGGTGCTTAGAATGTAGTGGTGAACACCCAACCGGGGATTCCCTGTGCCCAACGCCAACCGGCCCTCTCGCCCCGCAATGTTAGGGAAACCTCTCCGAATCCTACAATTGAACATCATGAAATCGAGAGCGGGCATGGAGGCCCTCATAAACGACCACCAGAGCGAAAATCTAGACATCCTCCTAATTCAGGAACCACCAATCACTGCATATCGAACACATGTGAACCACAGCGCATGGCGACTATACAAACCAACAATCGAAGACGGCTCAGCTCGACTGCGAAGCCTCATCTATGTGAACCGTAGGCTCTCAACGGCCTCTCACCAACAAGTGCAATGCGACCACCCAGACCTAACAGCAATTAAGATCTGGACGGCCGAACTCCAGATCCTGGTCTTTTCGGTCTATATCCCACCCGTACCGATGCACAATCCCGACGGAACATCGGCAGAGACGACTCTATCCGCGATCCACCACACGATTCAGGAAAATACTCAAAACAACAGAAGGCCCACCTGTCTTATCCTATCTGGAGATTTCAACCGCCATCATCCGGCATGGGGGAACAACAACATCCAACCCCGCTTCGTTGAGGAAGCCGGCGAACTGATCAATTTCTTCCACGAACATGGTCTGCAGGGATGTCTCCCTCGAGGAGTCTCAACCTACTGGTCGCTGAGCCACCCGGGAAGAAGGTCCACGATTGACCAGACAGTGACGGATAAATCTGAGTTACTGCTCAAGTGTCATCTTTACCACGATAACTACGGCTCGGACCACCGGGCCACATACTCAGAGTGGAGCCTCCAGATACATCGCAACAACAATAAACCTCCAAGAAAGGCCTACGACCGCGCAGACTGGGGGAAAATTGGGAACGAGGTCATAAGTCTCATGGGGAAACAGACCGAGATGCACTCAACCCACGCACTCGATATGGCCGTGGAAAACCTCACTAAGACCACTGCGATCGCTGTCGACAGACACACGCCCGATCAGCGACCCTCCCCTTACGCTAAACGATGGTTCACGGCCGATCTCAAGGAGCAACAGAACAAAGTAAACCGCTTGCGACGCAGATGGCAGGCGAGATGTGCGGAAGCAGGACGAAACGATCCCCACAGCATGGCACTTTTCCAGGACATGCGCCAGTCGCGGCGGGCGTGGACCCGGACGATCGAAGAAGCAAAAGCATCACACTGGAAACAATTCCTTGATGAGGCCGGCGAAGGGAAGTTATGGAAGGCCGCGTCGTACATGAAACCACGGGAGGCGTGGGGTTGCGTCCCAACGCTCCGGGTCGGCGACAGGGAGGTGGCTGATAATCCAGAAAAGGCGCAAGCTTTCATGGACGCATTCTTCCCGTCGATGGCGCCCGCCGAAGACGAACAGCTGCCTAGACCCCCAGCCGAAATCCCATGGCAACCGATCTCAGAGATCGAGATCTACCGATCGCTCAGTACTGCAAAACCATCAACAGCGCCAGGTGAAGACGGTCTTCCCATGTTAGTCTGGAAACGTCTCTGGGATTACCTCGGGAGCATCATTACCAAGATTTTCACGGTGTCGATCGAACTAGGATATCACCCCCAGGGGTGGAGATGCGCCCAGATCGTAGTTCTGCGGAAACCAGGAAAGCCAGACTACTCGCAACCAGGAGCCTACCGCCCCATCTCGCTCCTCAACACGCTTGGAAAGTTATTGGAAGCAGTGGTCGCCCGACGGTTGTCCTTCTACGCGGAGCAGTACGGGCTACTACCGGACACTCAGTTTGGAGGCCGACCAGGACGCACCACCGAGCAAGCCCTTCTAGTACTTGCCAACGCAATCGACAAAGCGTGGTACAAACAAAAAGTGGTGACGCTAGTCGCCTTCGACCTAAAAGGGGCGTTCAACGGAGTCAACCAGACAAGCCTGGACGCTCGTCTCCAATCCAAGGGCATCCCTTTGGTTGCCCGACGATGGATCGCGAGCTTTATGAGCGGACGCCAAGCCAGTATCCGGTTCGATGACTACCAGACCGAGGTAGCACCGCTAGACAATGCCGGGCTGGCGCAGGGCTCTCCACTCTCGCCCATTCTGTTCACGCTCTTCAATAATGATCTGGTGGACCAGCCCGTAGATTCCAAAGGCGGAGCTTCGGCCTTCATCGACGACTATTTTCGCTGGCGAGTTGGCTGGAGTGCAGAGGAGAACCTAGCCAGAATCCAGTTTGAAGACATACCACGCATCGAAGCATGGGCCCGGAGGACCGGATCCTGCTTCGCGGCCGAGAAAACTGAACTTATCCACATCACTCGCAAGAGAAAGGAACAGTGCCAAGGGGAACTGATCATGAATGGCAAAGCAGTCAAACCATCCACAACGGCCAAACTACTGGGAATTATCTTCGACCATGAGCTACGATGGAAACCACACGTACAGCAGGCGGTCAAACGAGCTACAAAGGTCAACCTCGCTCTTGGTGGACTACGGCATTTACGCCCAGAGCAGATGCGTCAGCTCTACGAAGCGTGTGTCGCACCGGTCATTGACTATGCGTCTACCGTCTGGCATGACCCACTCCGAGATAAGACGCATCTTCGGCACTTACGCACCGTACAGCGGACTGCGCTCATCCGCGTTCTATCGGCATTTCGAACGGTGGCCACAGCTGCGCTGGATGTAGAAGCACACGTCCGGCCAATCCATCTTCGACTACGCTTCCGTGCACAGAATACCATTACAAGACTCCACACCCTGCCCCAAAAACATCCTATCTGGAGCACCCTTCTTCGGGCCCAGAGAAGGCGGGACAATATTGGATCATACGCCAGGTTCCCTCTAGCAGAGGCGTTGAAAACAATGAACTTGGAGAGACTGAGAGAAATCGAGATGATTGACCCGACCCCGCTCCCTCCATGGAGACCGGAGGGGTTCGCCAGAATCGAAATAGAACCTGATCGAGAGGTCGCAATAGAGAAAGCGGAAACGGTACGATCCATCTCGGACGTGATGATCTACTCAGACGCCTCGGGGCGACAAGGTCATCTGGGAGCTGCAGCCGTCGCGATCGACGAGAGGCAGCAGACAACTGACAGGATACAAATACAGGTGGGCAGTATGGACCGCTGGTCGGTCCATGCGGCAGAGCTCATTGGGATTCTATACGCTATCAATATCATCAATCAAGTCGCGGTTCGACGTTGGACAGCATCGCACGCGCGGGTGAGATCCGCCACGATCTTCAGCGACAGTATGTCGGCACTGCAAGCTATTCGAAGACCGGGGAACAAGTCGGGACAGCAGATCATCCACGCCATCCTACGAGCAGCCGAAACCACCAAGAACCATGGTACAATGATTCGACTACAATGGATCCCCGGTCACTGCGAAATACCGGGGAACGAGATCGCCGATCAGCTTGCTAAAGAAGCCGC